ACTTGATATATGGTGCCGATGATGTTACTTTTTCTAATGTGAACGGGGGTATACATGTGTCTTATTCAGGTCAGCACACGTTGTTCATAATACATGACATTATGAACGTACTTCATATTCAAAACTATTCTAACCCCGGCAATACCATTCCTAATATGGGGGTGATCGACAGTCACATCGTGATGAACACTAAATATGAAACACAAAGCGGGACGTTCCATTTATTGCAGTGACATTTTTTTGAAAAATAAGTTGGATTAAACTACCCAAGACTTGCTCAAAAAACATGACGAGCTTTTCAGATTATGAAAAACGAATAGAGTAGCCCCCTATAAATAATGGTATGGCCCGTGTAACCTGGACTTGCATTATACAGCAAAGACGGTGAACGACTATATACGCTATATCAACATGTCTAGTGATCTGAAAATGCAATTACTTCAAGATATAGAGATATTGAGAGAATCTACAATTCCGGTGACTACCAGGCCCTAGCGAAACAATGTTATACTGAGGACTGCAAGTCAGTCTTCCCTGGACTTGCCGTTGCGACTGGACATGAACGTAAGTGTCTTGATTTCCGAAATTAACTCTTATTTCAAGTTCAGCGATGTTCCGTTGGATGAAGTCCTCCTATATCTTGATTTAGTCTTTATCGTATGCCACTCTATCCCACCAGTTGCCAACCCAATCTTGGTTAGTCCAGTAATCGTGCATTCAATTTAATTGATACCATAATTGCAATCGGTAACATTGGCAGACAGGTTTCCATTCCAGTGATATATCAGTTATCCAGGGTACTGTGTTGTTAGACAAGCCCTTTTTGTTGAATCTGTCACTGCTTTTTGCAAGGGTAGCCTGGGAAATATCAGTTGCTACATCCTTTGCTATTTTATTTACCAAATGAACTGAAACAACTCAGTGTGTTTTGTTGGTGTGAAGGCATGCATGATACGTGACTTTGTCTTGTTAAAAGTGAATCAGTTGCAATCATCAGTCATGTCATTCGGTGTCCGGTAAAAATAGCCATTTATTTAAAATCCATTACCCATACTGCATACATCGTGGTATGTTAAGAAATAGAGGGAAATATCAGTAATCGGTTTGATATATTAGTTACCATTAAACTGATGTTTGGCGGAAATGTAGATTTTTACGAATATCGTGCCAATTATTATTATTATTATTAAATCTATATATTTAATGTGAATACTTGTTTAATGTGAAACATCACCCTTAAAAACTGAATAATTGTCTATGAATTGAATTGAATTCTGAATCAATGAATTGTCTATTCATACTATGACTGATCGCGGCAATTGTGGTTTTGTACCAAACACGCAATGTAGTAGTGTAGCAATCTAGTTTAAACATGATAGAAAGATAAAATCGACAACAATATTTATTCTAGGCGATATTTTTTCAATCGTATATAAGATATATTAAAATAACGATTGCAACATATTGCTAACAATATTTAAAGCGGGAGGGTTGTCACCTGCGCACGCGTGGCAATTGAGTCCCAAGCAACGATAACAACACACGCTAAAAACGCAAAGGCTCATGAGTAGACGCTTGTTTGTAAACATTGACACACTATGCCCATCTGACGCATGCGCAGGTGACGACTCCCCCGCTTTAACTCAATTGGTCAGAATCGCAAATCAGTTGTATACAGTGCAACTTATATAGAAGTATTTATCATGTCAGTGTTTGTGTTTCGTCTACAGAGCTTGTCAAGGCGTGCGAGAGATTCAAAGAAGAAGGTGCCGTAAACATAAAAAGCGAAATTGTTGACTTTTCCACGAGTCCAGATGGTGAGATGGCATATTGTATCGTCAGTTTGCAAGGGCAAAAAGCTGATGGGACCGAGGGAAAACCTTACAACAATCTCATTATCTGGAAGAAAGTAGAAGGCATTTATCGTGCCCATGTCGATATGTCTAACTAAGCCAGTACCGATAATAAATAGCAATTATGCTAAATATATAATGTCATGTTGTTAATGTTTTTCATAGAGACTGCCACGCCAGCCACTGCCAAAAGTCGCACAACCTGAATCACGAGACCTCTAGTTTGGAATTCATTTAAGATTGTATAAAACACCTCATCGGACACAATACTAATATTGCATTATACTCAACCTGAAACCCTGGAGAATGATAATATCACTCTCCACTTGCCAACTTAATTCTGTGGACCGTTGATTCAGTAATATTGCTTTTTGGTTCGTATCCTTACTAACAGTCCACTAACCTGCAATAGCGTTCAGCATTTACTGAAAAGTACGTTTTCTTTGTTCCAAACAGTACCTGTTTACTATTTTTTTTTGTTCTCATCAATACCCATTTATTAGACCTAGGTTTTTCTCACATGACTTAAGTGAAGAGCACAACTGAACGTTCCCCTTACTATTTAAAAATTGTACATTTTTTAGCAGTGACACTCTGGATTTTCAAATCGTGAGCTGTGTTAGTACACGGTCAGTGAATGGGATAAACAGGCCGGGTGATTTATGGTAGACTGCATTATTAAGTTCGCTATGATACATAGATTTATCAGGTACGATACTAAAGATCATTGACCCCATCATTCGTTCATTATATTGTCTTGCTATACAACAGGAGTTTAGTAACACACGTACGCTGTGACAACACAGAACCCTCGAAGTAAATACCTTAAATTAGTCCAGTTCGTAGTACTAGTATATCTTCGTTATTACACCCATACTTTTACGTTAAAAAGAATTAATGGACAATTTTGGAGCTTCAGACTTGGGCCTTGGGCCAGTTATTAGTTGTGCAGTGGAATTATTAAAAGCAGTCTACTGCAATATATGTGTCACATTGTTAATAGGCCACATGCATATGCTTTCACGAGTGTGTCGCGTTGAAAGTCGCGCGGTATTTCATGTTTTAAATCGCGTTTAGATACTTGACTTGTGTAATAACAAACAATTTAACAGAAATGTTATAATCAGTTTTTTCACAAATATGATAATTAGGATTTCAATTTTTGAAAACACGCATCGTTGGTGCCCAGGGCACACAACATTTGACCGCAACATATATTTTGCCTAAAACGGCTTCATTTCAAGACTGAAAAAAACACTTCCACGACTGCATTATTAGGCTGCAGCAAACAAGCCTTTTGTTTTATAGTTCATAACTTATTTCGAGTTGTTGTGTGTGTTTCAGGTAAAATGTTAGTGCTCTCTTTGAACAACTTGGATGAATTTGAATTTTTCTAAAAGCGTCTTTACATCGTTTTGTGAAGAAATCGGGACACCGCTACTAGACGTCGAGAAGAAGACGGCAGACGACCTATGCTCGTTCCTCTGGCAATTCTACGTGTAATGTGTTATAAAACACATATTGCATGTGCTTAATAATTAATCTTCCCGCGAATACTAGCACGAAAAATGCTGACAACACCGACCCCCTACACTAATGTCTGCCAAGTTCTCCGTTTTGAACATGGTCACATTTTTTTGGATGCAATTCTTATGGACGCAAATAGTCAACTTATGACGTCATGTGGCATTGATAAACAAAAGGTCAGTTCTAAGACATTTTAAAGACATAGATAAGAAATCATAATTGTAAAATAATTATATTCAGAAATCAACGAAACCCTAGCCAATGGTCTCTGATTTTACATGCTTAGAGCGTACATACTTACATGTGGAGGCTCAGAAAATTTGTACTGAGGAGATGGAACTTGGTTTCCAGCAACAATGGCAGAGATGATTCAAATCAAATTTCTTTCATTTTATTCATACTTTACAAGTTTATTCACATATTATTTGAACACAGCGACGTATGTTTATCATATCAAGATAATTTCGAGCACCGCCTCGAGTTACGCCCTCAGGGTTAAAAATCAATTATAATAAATCCTTTTGTTTGTAATGCCGAAACAGCGCCCTTACACCCTAACCCACACTGAAGCGGCACAGTTGATGCGCGATGAGCTTTCTAATTCCGTGTAAATAAACAATCCATTTTACAAACCGTATATACTATTTTCTACGACGTAACTATCCTTCCGGCAAACAAGGTGTGCACGGTAAAAAGGTCATTGAAATGAAGTGTATCTCTCTAGTATGTCTCAATAGCGAACACGGTGACGACTGTGGTGCGTTTCCAGGTGTAATATTCGTTCCTGGCATTGGGGTCCTGTCGATTCTGATAACGTGGTTCACGAGCACCGCCAATGTCCTAAAGGGTAGCTTTCACGTTGTTCATGTTTCACGGTGTTTAATACACCATGGGTTTCCCATGTGCCTGGTTGAGTGGGTGTGTCCCATAATACACTGCGGACACGAACCCCATACACTCGCGTTACACGGAGCTCACAACAAATATAACCATCATTGTTTCGTTTGTATACTAGCTGCACAACAAACCCGTTCCCTTTTTTGTAAATATTTATAAAATCGTTTAGCAGTTGAATCTAGTCAGCCCATCAACGATCCGTCGCAGTGCGCAACGACGTCATTGGATAACATCTTTCAATCAGCCAATGGAAACCTATCATTTCAGTTTGAATTGTGATTTTTTTAGTATAAAGAATCAAATTTGGCCTTTATATATTTTTTTATATTGTTGCAGTGTTATATTCTAAGGACACCTGTTGCATATGCGAGGTGGGTGGGTGAATATTAACATGGCTATACATAAGCTGCCAAGGTCCAGCCAGCCGTTTATGACCATTTCCAGTTTGTGTGTTCAGGATGATTCATTTCGCGCTCAATATTTCCATTTCTCGTCCAATCCCATATAAAATAACTAATCACGATTATAATTATGTGATAATTAAATAAGTGAGATAACGCACGTTTATTACTTTGGGTCAAACCATGCTGGAAGTGGTACAAAATTAAATCACTGAAATCCCTCGCAGGCAAAGAGAAAAAATCTATTCTGTTGTCGTGACAACTAATATCACAACTGTTTAGCGAAGCGAGTTTATCAGGGTGTGCGGCAACATATGGTTGTGAAATCCCTTTTTAACGGTATTCAGCTGCTTTATTGAGAACAGACACGTAGTCAAGTCGGCAGTGCTGGAGCAAATGTGTATCTAACATCGATGTTATCATGTACTGTTAACGTGCGAATTTGGTGAGTGAACATCATGTCATTTTAGGGGAATATAGGGAACGTCAATGAGAAAAACAATATGTTGCTGTACTTGGTAGGTTCTATTATTGTGAGAAAATGTATTAATTGGCGATGGTCGCCGCGCCGTGACCGGTTCTATACGGACGGGTCCCATGCGACGTAAAATAAAAAGTACAATATCATGATGGCTCTTTAACTAAATTATGAATACTATGCCAAAACTACTTTTACTCGGGTTAATTATGTCAATGTAAATTATCAGTGAACTAATCCAGGGGCGGTGTTGTAAACGTTTGAATGTAGACTCCATCTCGTGAGGTATGCACGTGACATCATCACCCGGACACTACCAACGACATGCGAGGTAGACAGCGTATCTATGCGGGAAGCCAAACTTTGTGAATGTTACTAAAAAGGCTCACGAATTCAGGCGAAATAGAATTTGGACATATTAAGTTTAGTTTCGACGGGAAATCGCACTCTGCTTTGATGGATTATTAGGCTGCGTAGTAATAATTGGATCACGGGAAGAGACTTAGCGACAACTCGCGATGGAATGAGAGTAATAAGTTGCCATTTTGCTCCAGAATCCCCCATGTCACAAATACCTTTAACAAAAATCAAGGCGCCAATCCTAAATTACGGCCTATTTCAAGGGCTCCACTTTGTGAAGTCAGCGTGTGGAGCTTGCGACGGCTGGCGAATGAATGCTCTCCCACTTCAATAAAAAATGAATTTTTAATTTAATTAATTAATAATATTGTATGGACTAGGTAGTCCTTTCAATGTATATGCTAAGTTGTCATGATATTCTGGTAATTTACTTATTCTGTCGGAGTTCTATATATATATATATGATTTAATACTATAATGAACATTAATTACTGACGCATGCGCAATTATGATTCAGTAGTAGTCGTATGGTGTCACGAAACATCACCAATAAGTTGAATATTTTTTATTATTTCCCATTTTTCAATGAGACAAGGGACCCATTTAGTGTCACATAATCATACGTACTCAATAAAAATTTACTACGAGGTTACTTGTATATAAATTATAATTATCAAAAAAATCAACTACGACAGAGGGCGCTGTCTGCCATACGGGTTGCATCGAATATATAACTCCCGTATAACAAAGTAAGACGCGCTGTAAAACGGACATAGGAGTCGTTTACGACGATCCGGCAGTTATATACGTCTAGTATTTTATGTTCACTGTGAGTATTATTGTGACTTTGATACATAGATGACATTTGCGCATGTGGAAATTGAATGTATTGCATTGAAACAAAACCCAACCCGGCATAATTGTATATGTTAACATATGTTACTGCCGCCAGCATTGTTATTCGCCACTATGTAATTCCGCTACTACAAAGTCACGAATGCACATCCATGATCGGCATGGCGACGTCTCCCACCAAAGCAATCGTTTTTAATAATGCGAGAAACTAACAAATATCAATATTTAACAGGTTATTCTATATAGGTGAACTCTAATATCTCTCTAATGCAGAACATATATTATGAGTGTCATGTGCATATCATATAATTTTAGTCATGACGTCACGCAAACTACAAACAGACGAATGATTAGAAATTCTCAATGTAGCGGGTACTTCGTTAAGGATTATAAATACTCGTGGTGTTAAAATAAATATCCCGCATTTGGAGTAATACTTACTTGATACAATTTGTGTAAAGCATTATTAATCTCATTGTTATGGAGAAATACGGAAGCCATCGCACGGATGACCTCTTATCACAATGGCACCATCTTTCATCGCAGCGCAGCCTCATTTGCATATCAATTGACACGTTTTTCTGATGCTGTATTACATTTTTCTTTCAGAGCTGGTAGAAGGCATTTTTAAAAGCGATGACAATTTGTGGAGGAATTATTTTGTGCTAATCGCGAATTACAGGGCTTTTAAATTTCTATAATGGCAGTAGCGTCGACAATATGTGCTATGTCGTGTTTATCCACGGCGCTGTTTTTGACGGCGTGTATATTTTCATATCTTAGCGGGCAACATACCCTTTACGTCGCTTGTACGTTTTTAACGCTGGCTTCAGGGGCGTATACCGTCGGAATATTAATACTGTGTGTGAAACAGCGGAGACTATTAGTACCCGCGGACGAGGAGGAAATGGAACGCTTGGCGGGAACCGGTGATGAAATCGAGTCGTCTGAGGTCGAAGGCGAGGAAGAAATCAATGAGAGCAATCATCGGAGACAAGATGGACATGTTGGAAATGATGAAGATTTTGAATGTTTTGACGATGATTTGGATATTACTGAAACAAACAGACGAAAGTGAGTTGTGACGACACATTCAATTGTGTGAATCTGCCTCTTTTTTAGGTATTTATATTTTGGGAACAAGTATTTTGACACGCACGGCGGATGGATATATAATGACCCCAGACCCCAGCATATTATTATTCGTCGCGGCGTGGCAGCTGTGACATGGCTTCGTTTTCTGGTTCTCTGTCTATTCAATTCAGACTTTAAAAAAATGAATGTATAGTAGATTCAAGCACATTTGTACTGCGCGTCCGTTTAAATTTAAATCATGGCTAAAAAAAAATGGAATCAATTAACGTTGTAGCGCATAAGAAAAAATGGCGGGAAATATGAAATTGGAACAGACGATATTTCAACATCTAAAACAAAGGTTGCTCGTGCCATTTTCAGCCACAAGATACTGCCCTTTTTCAATACAAATGAAATATTCAATTATTTAATATGTTACGGATTTTGCTATTCACAGCTGTTACCATGCAGCATAATTAATGCCCCGAGCTACCATATTTTCGAATCAAACACGGACTCGTACAAGAGAGCAAGGACCACATATCGCGATATAATACATTACAATGTAACTACCCGGATGTACGTATGGGTGTCAATATAAGATACGCTATGGAAAATTCGACTACGATATTGGGGACAGCAATAGTATCGCCGGAATATACACAAATTGGTGAACACTGAAGTTAAAAAAATCGTTTTATATCTAGGCAGAAGTAAATTTAATAAATCTATCGCACAGTATCGGCGACACCAATATATTCTTTGTGGAGTATAACAATGTCGGCTTCAAATTATGAGTTCGTAGAATTGTTTTAATGTAAATTTGGATAAAAATCTTACATTTGTATAGACATGGCATACGTTGGCTGGCTATGTATTTGAAATCTTGCAGAAGGCTAAAAGCTTTTCTTACATTGGCGGCGACACAGGGGACAGAGAGGGCGTCGCCCCCAAAATCAAGCTGAAACCATTTGTGTCGGCAAAATTTTCCCCTCAAAATGCAGGAAATAGCGTTTCAGGGGGTCTATATTTCAAATTATTAAGGAGGGGCATGCCTGGTCCCCCTAGTAAGGTCGCGCAAGGTTGGTGAGCTGATCTCGCCTCCATGCAACATTTCGTGCCGCCGCCCCTGTCTTAAGAGGCGGTAATTGGAGGGACGAAGACACATTAACTGCTTCTAACACACACGTATACATCATGAATAGTCAACCATAAAGTTGAAGGGCACTACTCAGAGAGAGAGATAGAGCGAGTTTCGGTTATAGAACATGTCTAGCGTACTATTATTAGTAACTATGCAATAATACGTGTTTTTTAAATAAATGTTATATTCAAATTTGGCATCACCCGAATTCATTGACCATTTTTTTCAGAAAATCATAAGTCGGCCATACAATTTACGTAAATTAGTGATCTATTGCTGTGAATCATTGAAGATATTTAGTCTAAATATTTTGCTGAAGTGCGCGTTGAAATAATTCCCCTTGTATTCCATTTAATGTGATTGTGTTGTCAGGTAGTTTACTGTACATTTCGTTTATAAAATGTTTCGTTGTTGAACCAACTTACATACTAACATCATTAGGGAGACATACTGTAAAACACATTGAAATACTTACGTGCCATTTTAGCGAATTTGACTCAAAACATAAATTAACAAAATGTTAATTTAGCTAAAATGGCAACAATCTCATTGTGGGAATATACTTTATTCTAAATTAGCGACATCTTGAATTAGCGAAACTACAGGTTAGGCTGAGAAATAAAATATCTCTATTTCTCGTTTCCGTGCGCATCATTTTGAACTATGCGCCTCGGACGTTTTTGTTCTTCTAAAGTATTCAAAAATGCGATTGTACTCGCACTTGTCTCTAATTCCCCCAATTTTAGCTCAGTATTCAAAAAGAAAATCGCCTCGCCGCCTCATTTTAAAATTTACATGAAACGAGAAACAGAGAAATTTTTTTTTCTGGCCTTAGCTAAAATGACATGCAAGCTAAAAAAACGTGTTTTACAGGACTTTTCGCGAGCTTCACCGCATCTAAGGAAAACGTAACCGCTGGCATTGCGTCAATCAACACGCCCTAGGTAAAAGCTCACATTTTGTGTTTTGTACAGCACCTGAACATTTACTCACACTGGATATTGCCTTTCTATATACGAGTATACGTCATTCTGGATGATTGATTTGAGAACACTCTACCCTCATTCACTCACACAAATACCCCGGTTATTTCAAGTGTACGTTTTTCAATTGCCTGGCCTATAAATAACCTTATATGTGAAACCATGACGCGCAAATGGTGGTATTTACTTTGATGTAATATCACGTTCGAATTCCGAGTGACGTCACACTACATTCCACAATATATTGCATGCGATTTACATTTTATGTTGCTGAATTCCCGACAACATAAATATTATAAACAACAAAACACAAATAATTTGATCTCCGGAACAACCTTGGTTATGAATCATTTCAAGTTGAATGCAGCCATTCCCCCAAAAAATTAGATAAAATTAGTCATGGAGAGGAGTGACAGCCGGCTGTCACAGTCGTTCATGATTGACGCGACAGTTGTGACATACACGCGCGACCTGAAACAAATGTGAAAGAATATAAATGTGTGTTTACCAAATTTGATGCGGCGACAAAACGTTTTCTCACAAAATTATGTGATGTTGAGTTATTCTTCCGTCGGAATGCTAATTTAATGAATTGATTACTATCAATTTTGGTTAGTTAACTTTTCACGTCCTCATCATATGAAGAGAATATCACATACGAAAAAAATAATAAAATCACTATTTTTGCATTATTTTTTATACTTTATAAACAATTACTCTGGGAAAACGTGATAAACTGCAAAACGTGTACGCACGCGAACGACTAAAAATAATTCTTGTTTGTCGCAGTTGTGTGTATCTTATTCAGTAAAACATATTGTTTTAGAGTACACAAGAATCATAACTTCTGGCACTCTTGTTTTCCCGTCTCTGTGTCACGTGACTATAACATTGGTATACGTCTTTATATTTCACTACTTATACTAAAATGTCATGTGTTTTTTTGTAGGGACCTTGTAGATATCGATTTGGACCACCCGGAGAGAACATCAAATAGACGGAAGGAAATGACGAGACTTTAGTGCTAGAAATGGAATATTGTAATGTACAGCCTGTCTCAGCGCATCCATTCCACCAATGAAGTGCGAGCGTTAACAGATCATAAAAATAACGGCATTCCGTGCATTGTGGCATTGCCGTCAAAGCGTGCTTCTGTAGGAAAACTGCATGTCGTACATCCACGAAGATTACAAATATAGCAATGTTAACTCCCTGTAATTAATTTTAAGCGAGAGGGTCGTCACTTGTGCACGCGCGGGAAATGAGTTCCAAGCAACGATAACACATGTTAAAACGCAAAGGCTCATGGATAGACGCTTGTTTGTAAATAATGACACGATACGACCATCTGGCGCATGCGCAGGTAACGACTCCCCCGCTTTAAAGCATCACGGTCGTCGCAACGCGTCGTGTTCGACAAGAGTCCACAAGAAGTAAACAACGCTTATAAAATAACATTGTTTCACACAAAAATCGAACGCACGCTGCACGACGATTTTGGGTGCTTTAAAGGCGAAAATATCTATCCTTGGTATTACACTGTGGATTCAGAAGACACCATTGACAGCATCGTTTACACTATTTATTTGTATTCTGGTTCCTACTGTAGTCTGTTACGAAAATTGAATATAAAATGAGACTTAGACAGGATTTTTTCAACTATGTGAATGCAAAAACCAACCAATTTTTGTCGCTTATCAAATTAAATACATACATCCACTTAAATTTGTAGCAATGCAAAATTTAATTTTGCTCCAAAATTAACAAATAAATTATAAAAGTAAAACAAAGACGCAAAATGTTGCACCTAGGCTTTGGCGGGAAAATGATAGTGTTCAAATAGTTGGCAAGGTCAGGTGAAAATTTATATATTTTACACAGAACAGAAAGGTTTAATTCTACAACAAACTGAAATGATGTGGTATAATATATATTTCAAAAATTAAAAAAAAAAAAAAAAGAGTTTTTGCTCAATTTGCCAAAATTTATAGTCTGCCATGATAAATATTGATTGGCCGGTCTAATAGTAAAAAAAATACGGGGTGTAACTATTTCTATTTGGCTCAATAAATATCGTCGAAAATAAGAGTGGCGTATTTCAAGGGTGCATTTGCTTCGCGGTGGTCAAAAGAAAACCTTATATGCTGTATTTTAATTATACTTAATATGAAGGGTGTTTTAAAAATGTTAAAAATACTGAAAAGTCAAATGATTCCTATAATATATCACTATGTTAGTAATTTGGATATGCCATTGTGGTAACAGTGCGTCGTACGTTAACCTTGTAACATTGAAACAGACATACTGTTACGTGGGATTATCTACTCATACTGTCATAACTGCCTGGCGCTATTTATTTCAATATGATGGGGAATAAAACTCAATGAATGCCAAGTCTAGACTAGTATTGCGAAAACATAAAAACAAAAATCAGTATAGTTTTTCGTTCACTAGCATCACGACGTTATAATACTTATGTTTTGCAATACTTTACGCGGGTTCCTTTTCTTGATTTTTAATTTATTTATTAACCATGTAAGTGTGACCACGTGCAGTGTATATCTGATATTGAATTAACAGGGTAAATATTAACGCCGAGTGCCTTACAACGTCACGTAGATATCAATCATGACAAATTGAATACACATCATATCCGGCAATATGAAATATATACCAAATTCTTTCATGGCTGAATATAATATAATATAATATCAAATGATTACTGGCTGCGGTATACTTGAGCACTGTCTCTGTGGATGATATTGTAAACATGTTGAATGGGATGGATATGTACTCGTGTTTATGAGAATCGTGCCCCGGTTCTGAATGGTGTTTTGCTTTACTGTGCCCGGGGTAATCATTGGAAAATAGAACATACGTTGACCAAATGCCATAATTGTATCAACGGAAAAATGCAAGATATGTTATGTTATTTAATTTACTTTAAAATATTGGTGAATATACCACGTGACGTCGAGTCGAACCGCAAACTTGCAGACCCTGGTCTTTTTTTCTCGCTGTTGAAATATACTGATGATGGAGTATTTACATGCAACAAGCAGTGCCTTATACGAGGTGTCCACAACATAGAGAGATTTCTATCTATGGGTAGAGAAATCACCGCGAAGAAAACATACCAAAATGGCGTTGTTCTAGGTTGGGTTTGCTTACCAAGCAGGTGATGGTAAAATAACAAGTGGACGTCAAAAAAATGTAGGAAATTTTCTCGGAAAAATAGGTTACGTCTTTATAGAAGACGTATTTATACATAAATTGAGGCAATTACTAGTGTAAGTAATTGCCATGGTTGCACAATGCTAGTATTATATAATATGTTAATATACTTTTTTATATTGAGACCTTCAACCGGGAGGTCATTTCAGTCAATGCTCTTCCAAATAGTATTTCGACGTAGTTCTTTCTTTCTGTTATTGTGCAATATTAGATATTAACGATGGTACTTACTTTTTTGTAAATGACAATAATAATAATATGATAGTCTGTATTTAATCTCTCTTTCAGTGCCAATATTTTGAATAGAGCTTCAAGTTTCAGATTGCATGAAACGTATTTGGGGCAGGTGAGGAGTTGCTTGTCATATGGCAGTACCCCAGTCTCCAAACTCGGAGTCGCTCACCAGTGATCAAATAGATCACTGATTGCGGTTTTCCGATGCACGTGTCATTCTGACCAATTGCATGATTCATTTGCGAATTTTCACCATACGAGCTAAACCAAAATAATGCAACTCGTTCAGGATTTCGCAGTGTTTCAAATCAAATCAAGTCACACATTTGGCTACCATGCAGTGGTGTGACAGAATAAGGTAAAATATTGTAAACAATTATGAACAACATTTTAATCTTTTGTAGAAACATTAAACTTGCCAATTTTTGTAGAACTGGGGAAAATTCCATTTATATTGGATTTTTATGCAGAATGTTTATATGAATATATGTAACAAGATTTGGGAGTAATTGTAGAGAATAAATTGAAATTTTAAATATTGTATCAGAGCATATTATTTACGGTGGTACGTAACAACCCATCACACACATACACCGACGATCATTTTCTGAAGCAAGCAGAATCCACAGCACATACAAGAGTAGTAAAAAGATAATCATGATTTCATAGTATGAGATCATGACGACATCGGGAGTGGCACGTGACCAATAACTGATATCCCACTGGTTGAATATCATACATTGACTGAGCCAAAAGATTTTCAGTTAATCGACTTGAACACTTAGTCAACCCAAATTTGGCTAAAATGCCATCTGATTAAATTCTGATTTAGGTTGAGGGTCTGATTGTTTTCAGTATATGGATGCCGGTGTACTAAAAAAGCTTTATTCGAATTTATTCAAATCCCGTTTGTGCACCTTTTGTCTGACGAGATTCGCCAACCAATAAGAGCGCGCCTCACTAAAACAGGCTATGTACCCAGTAATCGACAACCATGACAACTACCAGTAATTAGAGCGCGTCAATAAGGTATTTTGCCGTAAATCGACCGTGTCGTAAATAAAAGAGTCTTGCGCCTCATTTTCAAGTATGCCGCTCATATCGATTTGAAAGATTTATGTAGGCGATTGGGGATTACTAAAACTTCATAAACTTAATGGCAGTTTTCAAAAATCTTAGTGGATGTTTATGTTGATTTTATTGTAATATTTTTTTATGGATGAACAAATCATTAGTTAACTGATGAAAATAATTAATGACTATTATTATCTTAAATTAGGTGGAATTAAAGGAAACTCGCCAAATGCTTTCGTGTCATACCGAAGAATGGTAACGTACGACACGCATCGTATCAAGTGCTTATCATAATACTTAGAACAGACAGTGATTGTCTCATACTCAATAACCACATTTTTGAGCCAATAGTTCAACCTTCTTTCAATGACCTATCGTGACCTCATGTATATTGACATGCCCAGTTACATTTATCTTATTTTATTAACAACATTTTACCTTTGCTGTCTATTTACAGTTTATTAAAGGCGAGCCGTGCACTGGAGTCCGACGGCATCGATATGGTAGAGCGGCATATTCCACATCTTAATAATAAAAAAGAAATACGCCCAACTATATGCAAAATTTATCTAATGATAGTTGACTATTGTTGGATATAATAGTGTAGCGCTTTCAGCGAGTATCATCGTGATGTAGTGCGTCAATGTGAAAATTGAGATTTCCATGGTGTCGTAAACAGCGCCACCTAGAGTCGAAAATTGTTCAGGAGTCAGTTTCCCATAACAAGTGTTCTAAATGCAGGCTCCTGCAACTGTGTACAGTATATATGCTTAACTCTGTTATCAAGAAACCTTATATGAATTATTAATGTCCACATAGTACCATATATAAATGACGACTCATTATTATTAATTATTAACCAAACCATGCATTTTAGTGATTTTAACCAGTTCGGGTCGGGAACACTCGACTGAAAGTCTGGCCTTTGTTCGCCTTTCTTCCTCTCTTTTACAAGTATTTGAGAATCTTGGCCACAGTCGTTGAGGGCAGCCTTACTTAAAATATCTGGCCTGCAAGCTTAAATATGGTAATTAGGGATAGATATTTTTTTACCTGACGCATGTGAACTTTCAATAAGAATTTAGGGTTTGGTAAGAGTTATATAATCACAGTATACTATAAAAATAATAGAATTTCATAAACTCTTGTAGGAAGTGCCCCAATCTGATTAAAATAAGATCCTGGTTGGCTTAATTTTTTTCTATATAATTATTATTTATTTTAATTATTTGTTGACGTTACAATTATTTTGCAAGAATTTTACAAGAATTGGTTTGTTTATGAAAGCCACCGGTGTGGCAAGTTTATTGTAAAAGCAAATATTAAAACGAATAATAATAAATACAATTAATAGTAATAATATATATAAAAACATATATATTATCTTCTTTTTGTTCGCCTTTCTTCCTCTCTTTTACAAGTATTCGACAATCTTGGCCACAGTCGTTGAGGGCAGCCTTAGCAGTTAAGCACTTAAAATATCTTCTTTATCTTTGTTGCTCCAATACATTGTTTCTGCGAATTTCTTTTGTTATCTATAAACCTTTAAAATTTTGTCGGTTCATTTGTTCGTGTCACAATTGCTACCTCATTCTTCATGATGTTGAATTAATCAACGAAATTGAATGACTAGACCCTAATAATATTACGCTACGCAACGCGTCGTTGTGGTATATGTGTCAACCAAACATATATAGTATGGGTATTGTTGCGATAGTTGTGTTTTAAATGTTATTTCCATTTTTCCCGGGGTTCACCTGTTTCCTGACCTGATGTCATCGATGATATCGGGCGATGTTCACGGTTGATGAGTCACATTGATAGGCAGCGTCGAGCACAATAATACAACTTCGTGATGGCTGTCCAAACCAGAACCCTGCCCCTGTATACAGTCGATGCATTTACAAACAAGCCATTCACTGGAAATCCAGCAGCTGTATGTTTACTTGAAGGCAAGGTAAGCACTACAACGAGCACATTGGGCGATTTCATGCAGTTCAGCTTGTTACAAAATAAATCTGTTTGGCCTCAAACTGGGTCAGATGCGCGCGCATCCAACCGACGTATACCGGTCAGTATGGTCTGCATTGGTGTCGTGCACGTGCCCCGTCAACTTGTATAGGTAAGATCGCTGTCCGGGGTGACCGCCGTCCTGAAAAGTGAAGCCCTGAAATAACAGAGCTACCAGAGAGGGTAACAATTTAACTCATTGACTCAAAGCCCGCTGTAACTCTTTCAAACACGTATACTACACCGGGATACTACATTCCTAGTTGAGCAAAAACTACAATTCCGTAATCAGAATTAATAATCCACTGATAATTAATAATTGCGTTGACACCATTTAAAGGGCGGTAGTCGTCGCCTCCTGTTCTGGAGGTCACGTGATTGGAGTTTGAATGGTAGGTAGGGGTATTCACAGGTCCTCGTGAAAACTTCATTCTTTCTGCATTGATTATTGCCGTTATAGTTAGCCCAACGATCGGAGATAGCATCGGGAATTCGAGATGTCGGATCGGATGTTTTGTTCATCCAAAAAAACTGGAGAGACATTCGTATTGAGTTCTACTGTCCAACAACGAGATGGTCGTATGCAAATGAGCTATCATATCGGTTGAAAGTTTGTATCCCGATGCTTGTCCTCACAGTTGGCGGAGCAAATTTGTAACTATTTGGTATTGATTTCAGTCATAAATGGTTAGAAGAATCTGGGCAATTATGCTTCCTAGGAGACCAATCTAGTTGCATTCGAAATTTTAAATCAGAAAGCCTAAACAATGTGCTACGCAAATTGAGTTGACAATTATGCAGTGTTATTATACGTTCATCTACTCTTGCTGATTATGTAACACACGAGTTTAGAAACCCATGTATTGAACACTTGTTACATTTAGCTGGTGATATTGAACTCTACCCCGGTCCCCGTGAGAATGATATCATTGAAGCCGTGTCGTCCATGAAGTCGGAACTATTAAACGAAATGAAAAAGATGAGGGAAGACATACATCATGAGTTACAAGACCTGAAATCTGAACAAACAAATTTACGTGAGACGTGTTCAGTGATAAGCCCATAGTTTGTTCAACTTAAAAAAAATGTTTGACAAAGTTGAAGTGGACATTCGTGAACTGAAGGAAAGTAAGCATGCAGTAATTCTAGACTTGGTCTCTATATCTATGAAGCTGGATGAATTATTTAATCGCGTAGAAACCGTCGAAAATGCTAAAGATAAATCTGAATCGATCCTGCGGAGGGAAAATGTTCGGCTGTACGGAATTGAGGAGATACCGGGTGAATCGTTGACCAACGCAAATAGCAAGTATTGGCGATTTTGAATATGCATGTGAACAAAAAGCAGTAGGTACTTCGTGATATAGTTAGAGCACATCGAGCACCAGGTAGTAGAACAAAAAAATGGTGCGCGTCCTGTTATCGTATAGTTTCACCACTGGGTCGATAAAATGATTGCGTTGGCGGCCAGATCGGAACTTAAGGTAGAGATGCAGGTTCGTGGGCACTTGGGAGTGAATTTTTTTGTTGTTGCTTTTTATTATCCAAACAGTCTTGGCTATAGACTGTTAACATTTTGTAGAATTGTGAATAGTGGAACATACTCAAAAGACGATTTAAAATTATACATAACAGGTTGGTATCGGCATTGGCAACGACCTTACAAAGCGACAACAAAAAACCGTTACGGATTATAAGAAACAAGATAAAATTGCTTATTACAAAAGTGGAAAATTGGTTGTAATAGATAAGAAGAAAGAAATGGATAGTACAAAGAAAATAACAGAGTTACAAGGGCCAAAAACACGGCACAGAAAGGCACAAAAGAAAACGCCAGGACAAACATAACAAACTAGGAGTGTGGCCTTGGCCCAAACATAATAACTTTTCAAACTTGGAATGTTCAAGGTTTGAATAACAAAATTAGTTCGTTAAATTTAAAAAAAAATTATGTAGCATCTTTTATTGAAACATGGGCAGAAAACGATGATCAGTTTGACCAACCTTTCCCAGGATTTACAATTTACAGTACATCCCCCAAACGCAACACTGCACGTGGTAGATACGCCGGGGGTGTCTGCACTATAGTGGGTAACAATCTATCCAGCTATGTCAAACGCTTGAAGAGAGTGGCAAGAGGGGTAGCTGGTACAGTTTTACGGGAAATAAAAAGTTTTTTTTTACAATTTACAAGGAAAAAAAGACGTTTTTACAGTTAACAGTGAAAATTGAATTTTGCAATGAATTGTGTCATCTAGTCGTTTTACAGTTTCGAAATTAAATGTAATTTCCCTGGGTTATTCTTTACGACTTTTTTTATTTGGATGTAAATTCTTGCACGTACCGAGAAAAATGACACATTTTCACAGTGTACAAAAAATATTGATTGATTACGTTGTACGTCTAGCCTGTGATTGCAGAATTACGGAGTTAATTTTTTTCAATTTACGTTGTACGAACAAAAAATATTGCAATTACGTTGAACGAAAATAACCCTTGCCCCCCTCTTTAAATTCTGCTTTACATGATTGTATATTTCTTTTGTTTGATAGAAATATTTTTGGGTTTAATAAAGATGTTCTCTTTAGTAGTATTTATATTGCCCCACAGTATTCAGTCATCTATAATAGTCTTTCTTCGTCAAATGGTTTAGAACTTTTAGAAAATGAACTTGTAGACAATCTAAATAAATTGAACGATGTTTACATTATAATTACTGGTGACCTGAATTCTCGAACTGGCGAATTACCTGATTATATAATAGATGATGATACGAAATATATGCTTGATTCTGATTTCCTTTATGACAAAGATGATTTTGCGTTAACACGAGTTTCAAAAGACAAAACAGTAACATTTTCGGGAGGTCGCTATTTTCCGTGTGTTGTACGTTTAATTTGCATATTATAAATGGCCGCTTTGGCGAGGATGCCAAGCACGGGGAATTTACTTGCATCGCCAATTCGGGTCCCAGCGTGGTTGATTATACTATTATGTCCTCTATTTTGTTTACAACGTTGTCCACTTTTGTAGTTGGTATTCGTACGGATTCCGATCAACTTCCTTTGTCTTTTTCAATAAATGCCAGTGTACCAAATGTGGCTACTACCCAGCATGAAACAAATGAATTAGTTTTAAAACGTTACATTTGGTTACTGAGTAAAGAAAAGAACGACAAACTCAAATCTAGTTTAGTTGACAAAGGTCTTGACAGCTTTATTTCCGACCCAAATTATGACATTTCTAATTTTGTTTATAATATGAGTAATATCTTTACTAGGACAGCTGATTTGTGTGGAATGGGTCGGCGGGCACCAGAAAATGTATCACATTATCATAGTCAGCCATCTTTGAAGCTTTGAAGTATGGGAAGTATAAGTTGTTGAGAAATTTCAGAGTTAATAATAGCATTGATTCGCCGCGAAAACAAAATTAAACTTGTGTGTGGAGAGAAAAAAACTTGCCTTTTTTCTGTGAAAAAAGGACTGAATTGGGATTGAAAGATTCAAAAAAATTCTGGAGCATTTTGCGACGTTTATCGTCCGTACCTGTTAGTATTAACTCTATCCAACCTGATGAGTGGTTTGATTATTTTAGTAAATTATTTACTCCCTGTGATCCACCAGGATAGGATGATTTCCCTCCTTCTGACGAGTTTTTAAATTTAATTAACAGTATTGATATTTCTTCTGGTGTAGAGTCGGAAGTAAAGTTTTTAAATAGTCCGATCTTGGCTGATGAAATTATAGTAGCGGTTCGCAAGTTAAAATATGGCAAATCACCCGGACCGGATGGATTATTAGGGGAATTTTTTAAATCGAATATAGATTATCTTTTGTCGTACTTAATTGTGTTATTTAACAGATTATTTGATTCAATTATTTTTACTCAGCGGTGGTCAAGGGCTACCATTGTACCACTTCACAAAAAGGTTCACTGAACAGACCCGACAATTACAGGGGAATATCTCTACTAAGTATATTTAGCAAAATATTCACGTCTATTCTTAACCGACGTCTCGAGTTCTGTTCGGAGGCCTTCGGAAAGGTTTTTGTGGTGGTTATTCAACTGTTGACAGTATCTTCATTTTACAGTGCGATATTAAAAAATATCTGTCTAAAAACGTGGAGAATTTTACTGCGCATTTGTCGATTTTTCCAAGGCCTTCGACACTGTTGAACACCAACGATTGTGGTATATTCTTCTGAGGGGTGGTGTTACAGGTAAAATGTTCAAAATGCTTTATGCTATGAATGAAGATGTCAAGTTGTGCGTGCGCACGTCTATCACTAGTTGTACTGAATATTTTAACTGCCCAACCGGTGTGCGTCAGGGTTGTACTTAGCCACTTCTTGTTTTCCTTTTTTATAAATGAATTGGCACGCGAGTTACATTCTGGGGTTCAGAGGGGCATACAACTTTCACCTGATCTAGTTGAAATTATGTGCTTGCTTTTTGCAGATGATGTCGCTTTATTTTCTGACACTGTCATTGGCTTACAGCGACACTCTAACACATTGAGTTCTTATTGTAATAAGTGGAAACTAATTGTAAATTTATGTAAATCTAAAGTGATTGTATTCAAAGCTGGGGGGTCAACTTTCAAAAAATGAGAAATGGACTTACGGTGGGGAACGAATCATAGTGGTGCCATATTATATATATTTAGGTGTTATTTTCTCAAACCGACTTTTTTGGTCCGAAGCAATCTGATTAAAATCTTGATGTAGTGTACGGGCTTTAATTATTTTGGCTATAAACTTATTTTAATTTTATTTTTTATTACTTTTGTTATTAATGCCCTTTTATTTTATTATTTTACTTTGATTTTGATTTTGTGATTTTTTTTTAATTCTGCCCTACCTACATCTGATCCGACGCCTATGTAAGTCCCGTTCAAATCTCGCGTAAGTAACAGCCAATCACAGCCCCCCCCCCCTTTTATACAGGCTGTCGGTTGCTTACTTTTCAGTGTAGCGATACTCTACGGGCAATCTTTCTGTACATTATATTTTGCCCACTTGAATAAACCATTAATAGAAAATTGCTAGTATATTTTTATTTGCAAAAGAAATTCCTCAGCATTTTACAATTTTTGTCATTACATTGAACATTTTTTTCACTTCCAACAAATGTGTACACTTCCAGATACATCTTCGCTAGCCAAGGTTCGTTCATTCAGTCATCGCTTCAATTTTACACCACTGAGCATAATTATCTAGAATGGAAGCAAAAAAATAAGTAAATCGTAATGATTAGAACACTGTAAACAGCTATAGTAAACAATGCAAACTGATTTTAAATTGTAAAACAGTCACCGGCCCACGGCATCGAAGCAGAAAATTGGAGCAAACAAATATTTCCTGATCAATTGCGATGTGTTCCAATAAAAAATATTTTATTCCAGTCCAAATCAGCTCAATTACTTTATAAAGAGTATTGTATATGTACAAAATGTGATACAATT